TGACAATCGTTTCTTTTTAAGTGGCAGTACTTTGTCAATCCTGGACTGAAAAAGAAAATTACTGTCCTGTGAATGCCTGAGAATAATGGGATGGGAGGCGGGAGAAGGGGTACAGGTTTAAAATCAAAGGCCTGGGGGATGTGGGGATTTGATCCTGTTGGGACAGGAAGGGAACAAAGCAGGGTTTTTCATCAACAGTTCCTCACCGCCCTCCCCCCTCCCCCAAAATAGAGAACCATCAAAACCTCTGAGCTCCAGGCTGGCCCTTGAAAATGTTCCTGGTATGCTCTTTCTTTCACCCAGTTTCTGGCCAAGGCTCCATCCACGGATGAAGGGGAAAGCACTGTCTGCCCAGTGGAACACAAGCACTGGGGAAGCTCCTCTTCTTAAGAACATATCACCCATCCTCAACTCACCCACTGAAATTCTACTACCAGTAATGTACTGCTTTGAGTAGAATGCAAGCCTCTGGTTTATTTAAGTGATTTAATGCATCAGTTCTTTAATATTTAATTAATTAATTTTAAAAACTTATTTATTTATTTGAGACAGAGCATGAGCAGGAGGGGCAGAGGGAGAGGGACAAGCAAACTCCATGCTGAGTGAGCATGGAGCCCAATCCAATGCAAGGCTTGATCTCATGACCCTGAGATCATGACCTGAGTGGAAACCAAGAGTCCAAGGCCTAACAGACTGCACCACCCAGGCACCCTGCATCAGTTCTTTTACAGTGCATTAAAACCATAGGTAAGAAAATGTTTTTGTGGCAGTTAGTATATTGCCTGGTGCACTGAAAATGTACAAATATGATGATGATGATAATGATGATAATATTAACATCACTAAATCCTAACAAAACCCAAAAAGGTAGGTGCTAATATTATCCCCAACTTTTGGCTGAGGAAACTGAAATTTAGAGAGATTGAGTAAGTTACTCAAAGCCACACTGCTTGGAAGCAGAGAGCCAGGGTCAAAACAGACACAGACAGTGTCACTAGGCCTGGGGGACCTTGAGGGACAGGTGGTGCAGGTTGGGCTGATGTGGCATTTAGCGGGCCAGTGAGTTCCCTCATTCTCACTCTACGGCTGGATGGGCAATACTAGCTTAAAAGTGCTTCAAGTGAAAACACAAAACCCTTTCTTAAACTTTATTTCTCTTTGTCCTTGTTTTTCCATAACTTCCTCTCTCCTGGCACTCCTTGTGTGATTCTGGAAGAACCTACTAGAGGAAACAAACCAGAAAGATCCTTTCAGGACAACATCTTGCATCTGCAATATCTAGGAGCACCATCTAATACTTAGTGTCTCGCATACAGTGGGTCCCTAATAAATGTTTGCCAATCATTATGAGAAGGCAGCCTCTTCCAGGTCTGTGTCAAGCAGCCAATGGTGTTCTTGAGCACCCCAGCCAAAGGCTCCTTCACTAAGCATGCCCCACAGTGGGGTCCATGCCTACTTTCCACCCTACATCTCTCCCTACACATGGCCAACTCAAACTCATTATTAATTATAATGCTTCTGAAAGATGTAGGAGGTATGTAGCACAGTCTCATTGTCAAATTCAGGGAATGTCATCTGATATGTACCATCACCTTCCATTACCTACCCAAATGTGTCTACTACAGTCCTGGAAATCTGAAAAACTAGTGAGTAAGGATAGCACCTGTCCCACACCACCTAATTAATGCAGGGCTCTAAGGAAGTGAATGCAGGTGTTGGATCAGGGTCCCTGAAAGATTAGAATTTGTCAATGCCTCCAGATATGGAAAAATGTTAGACCTTTCACTCCCAGCCCACCCCCAAAGTATACCTTCTTTTAAGCAAAATCAGCCATTCTTCTGATATTAATCTTTGGCATCCACTTATTACTTCTCCAGTCATTTGTTAAGAGGTAGTGAATTAATTATGACAGAGACTATGGAGTTGTAGCTCTGTGTATGGGAGAAACCATTTCAAACTGATTTTCAATTCCCAAAACTTTAATTTTCAACACTAAACAAGGATTTGCCAAAACTCATTATTTCATTTTTTGTTTGAGCCAGCACCAAATGGTAGGCAACTTTTTTTTTTATTGAATCCATCTGTATCCGAAGAATATTCTAGATGCTCTGGAAGAAAACTTTCCAAACTCTATATTAATTACTGAGTCTTGACATCTGGACCTCACACTGATGTTCTTGCTCTAGCAGGCACACTCACAAACAATGTGCATTATCATTTCAAATCATCAGTGTATGTTTCATTCCAATATGGGCACTAATTTTATTCGTATGAAGTTGCAGACTTAACAGGAAAAGAGGAGGGGAAATCAGACTTTTTTGTTTGGCCAGGTTGGTAATCCTAACTTCACAGATCTTATGGTTGAAGCAAGGAAGAGGCCAACATAGTCATAGAGCCAACTTTATCTGGCTCTTCCACAAAGAACAGGCATTCTCCTTGCCCAGCCAGGAGAGAAAACAAAACCCACTAACTGGAGGCAAAAATGTTCCTCAGCCTTCCCTTTCTGTGTGCAGCCTCATGCACACACTGCCATCTGTTCCTTCTGAGTGCCTGGCTGCTTAGAAAAGCTTAAGAATAATTCTGAGTTGCACAGTGATCAAACCAACCTTGGGTTAAGACCTCTTTTTTAAAAGGATCAAGTACAAAAACACTTGAAAGGGGCTACATATAATTCAGGAATACAGACAGGTAGGGGAGAATCACTTTAGAAGAAGAGTAGAGAAGTTTTACCGGCTGTCCATAGCATTAGATCCAGGGACTTAAGACATGGGTAGTTATTTCTAGGCTGAAAAATGCTATGCTTCCATTTATTCTGTAGATTATGAAGTCTATTTCCACAAAGAGCAGGTAAAATTGGGTTGGGACAGAAAAGCAACCTAGAGAAGCAGAAAAGGGAAAGGATGAGAAAAAAAATTCTTGTGCACATGGAACACATCAGAGGCGATAGACTTCTGGGGACACTTTGACCTCAGCTTTACCTTTGTAAATACCCTACCTCACTTTTTTTATTTCCTCCTGATGTGTCCCACCTGTTAATACCAGGTAAAATCTTTTCCTTTATCAAGGAATATAAGGAAATGAGTCTGCCTGCAAGTTTTATTTGTTTTTTAAGATTTTATTTACTTATTTGACAGAGAGACACAGCCAGAGAGGGAACACAAGCAGGGGGACTGGGAGAGGGAGAAGCAGGCTTCCCGCGGAGCAGGGAGCCCGATGCGGGGCTCGATCCCAGGACCCGGGGATCATGACCTGAGCCGAAGGCAGACGCTTAACGACTGAGCCCCCCAGGCACCCCCTGTTTGGTTTTTTAATACATCTTCTTTTAAAAACATTTGCCAGTCAGAGTTTCAACCACACAGTGGAATTTTCACCCTTTTATTCTGTTTTTAGAATATAGTTGCTGCTTAGACTTGGTAATGGGTTTATTAATCCTTTACTGGGTAGACAAGAAGATTCTTCATTGTGGCATTAACCAGGGTTTCTCAACCTTGGCATTGTTGAAGTTTTGGACCAGAAAATTCTTTGTTGGGGCTGTTCTGTGCAGTGCTGGATATTCGGCAGCATCCTTGGCTTATACCCAATGGATGCCAATAGCACCTGTTGTGAAAACCAAAAATGTCTCCAGACCCTGCCAAATGCCCCCGTTCCAGGGGCAATTCTTCCTTCCACCCTAGAAACACTAGCCACTGGCTTTAAGGAAATCATTAAAATATGAAAAGGAGATATTAAAGTAGACAGACATCCATCAGAAAGATCAAAATTCTTATTTCCCAAGTATTTCGTATTTGAAGAGTATTTTAGTAGATCTTATTCATTGCTTAGCCTCCCTTAATTACATGGTGGGCTCATCCACTGATCTCTGACATGGCAGAATCCTCTCCCAGCCCCAGGAGAGATCGTTAGTCATGAGAATTCTATTTCGTTTTACCCATTTCTCAGTTCTAGACTGAGACATAAAAGGGGGGAAATGTTTGAGAAGTCTTCCTCTTATAAGATTAAAAAATAATAATTATAAATAAGATCCTCTCTAAAAGAAAAAAACCTTTTTGCCATATCTGTTTTTTTCCCACTAGAAAGTCTGTCTTTGAATGTGATAGTACTGCTTGGAGCATGAGCAGTCCCTCACAATCACAAGGAACTAAGAAAAAGGGGAAAAAAAAAGAAAGAAAGAAAGAAAGAAAGAAAGAAAGAAAGAAAGAAAGAAAGAAAGAAAGAAAGAAAGAAAGAAAGAAAAGAAATGCCAACATCTTGAGCAAGGTAAAGCAGAAAAAAACAGAAGAGCTTCAGTCCTTGATGATATCTTTGAACCACTGAACCAGCCTTGGAATGTCCACCTCAGGCTGCTGGTTAGTTGAAATAATTCAACACTTTTATTGCTTAGCCAAATCAATAGTTGGCAAACTCTGATTTGTGGGTCAAATGCAGGAACTAAGAACTGTTTTTATATTTTTAAAAGGCTGTTAAGAAACAAAGGTTGTTAAAAATAAACAGCCATATGGGGCCCACAAATTCTTAAATATTTACTATGTGGCCCTGCATAGATAAAGTTTGCCAATCCCCAATCTCAACCACTCATAGCTAATGTCTTGTGATTTGCAACCCAAAGTATTCTTAACTAAAACAAGTACTGATATCTTCATTTTACAATTATAGAAACTGAAGATTGAATCTGCCAATGGTAGGCTCAACCAGACAAGTCAAATACAAATTTGCCATTATTTCAATTCATTGTAAAGTTAAGCCAAATTGAGGCATCACAAAACATTTAACAGACTTTTCTATTTTTTAGGGCTTCAAATCATATTTGTACCAGAGGCTTAATTTTACAAATCAGAATAGATGAAGCCTCTTGATGAAACACAATATGCTCAGTGAATACCTTCAAAGGGGGTCAGACTGTCCTACTGTCTGGAGCACCAAGGCATTTCCTGCCCTAGGAAGTCAAACCTGGAGACCCCAAAGAGGAAAAGACATTACAGAAACACACTACGAACAAACTTGCTGATTTGATAAATTACCTTTTCTGCTTGCTGAAACAGTTCCTGCATTTCCTTGCTGACTCACTTAGAGAGAGTGAATCCTTAGTGGAAAATATCCAAAGGCTTCCTCCATTAACTTTAGCACCCAAGTTAATACTGCTGTTTCCAGTTGGACCAGCATGTTTGGTAGCACCTTGATAAAGGATTTAAATATCGATAAAATCTTATACTTAGAGTCAGGTCCAGAAGAAGGCAGACAGAGCTCATTATGGAAAGCCCATCAGATGAGTGTTGTACGAGTTACAGTAAACACTTGCCCACATCTGTGGGGCCATAACTGAGCACTGAGTGACTAACTGGCAGGGCCAGGCTTTTCTCAGTTGATCCAACCAACATTTCTTTGCCTTTGTACCCCAGTGTCTATCCCAGTACGGTAGGTGGTCCATCAGGAACAAAAGCCTTCGGTCTACACCCAATACTGGTTGTGCTTCAGTGTTGGGTTGGTTTGTTGGCAGAACTTGACCATACTGGGATCCAGATTCATCCACGTCTCGCAAGGAGCACATATCTCCACTGGCTCAGGGGCTGGAGAAGCCATTTGCTCACTTTGTGGGTCCCTGAAAAGACTGACTGGGGGATTTCTGGAGCTTTTTAGAAGGGGTGTCACTGTGACAGTGGGAACAGTTATGCTCCTTTCTGGTCTAGGACTTGGGGTTGTAGGTTCAAGATTGGTCTGGGACTTGATAAGAGGTTTTGTCTTTTCTACCTTCTGTCCCAGCAGCCAGACACACAAGGCCACTGCAGTTATTATCAGCAGGAAGACCACCACAGCCAAGGGTACAATGACCATCAGGGGATAACTGCTCTCCCTGGGCTGGGTGGGTGCCCCAGGACTGGCACTGGTTGTGTCTGGTGGCCAAATGACCCTGTTTGGAGAAGCCTTGCCATCCAGAGTAGACTCTTCACCAGGGTGTCGTCCCCAGGGACTTGCTTCCTGCTGCCTGGTCTGGGTCAGCTTCCCTAGAGTTTCTGTCTTTGCTGTGGGTCCTGAGGAAACCACAGGCTTTTCCTGAGAGAGACCTAAAGTCACAAGGTTATCTGCAGTGACTAATAAAGAAACATCAGGGGTAAAAGTTTGCAAACATAAGGGGTCAGGTGACACTATGGTGAAGGGTAGATGACCTATTGCTGGCTGCACATGGTCTGCCCTGAGCAAGAAAGTGAAGGAGTCATTCAGCATATCAATGCCTGTTAGGTTGGCATGTGGATGAAGCATCAATAGCCCTTGGTCAATGTCCCTCTGAGTGAATAGAGTAGCGTTTTCCATTGCCATGCCTCGGCCCACTCTTCGTACAAGTCTTCCATGGACAGGGAGTTCGGTCACTTCAAATTTGGGATCACTGTTAGTCCTATTAGCAAGCTCAGTAGCATCAAGGTCCTTTCTTCTCAGCTGATAAACCTCCCTGTTGGTGACTGTCAGGTTTGACATAACCCGCAGTAAAGGCTGCACTCTGATGTTCAGTGTCTGTCCTGTCAGATTGCTTTCTGGTGTAAATAGTGAGAAATACAGCTGGTCCTCTGAGGCCCTGAGATGTGTCATATGGTAAGAAAGTCTTCCTGAATGTAGATCTTCCTGCCCAAAGCTAACAACCACCTGGTTTTCAATGAGCAGATGCCCATGTTGGAGGGGCCATGTCATCTTGTAAGTGATTTGGGGGCTTCTCCCATTGGTCGTTGCTGACAAGTGAGTATTGGTGATGGGGACAGTTGTCTGGCCTTGTGGGAGAAGTAGGTCCGTGAGGTTCACAAGGGTGATGGAGATGGGGATGACATCCAGGTGGAAGAGCTTATAGAGTGGGCGGTGTTGGCCATCAGTCACACTAAAGTAAAACACACCCGAAGATGGGCTTCCATCTTGTACAAACCATACCTGAGAGTTATCTATGTCAGCTTGCGTGAAATGGTGAACAGGTATGTCTGGATGGTGAGCCATTGCCAAAAAGCCATTATTAGGATTACGGATGATCATATATCTGATCTCCTCTGGAGGACTGTCGAGATCTTCCACTCTTAGGTTTTCTGGTCCCACAACCAACCTATTTCCCTGCAGAACTTTCAACCGAAGCCCTTTTGTCTTTAATTCTGGTGCCTGGTCATTAATAGGAGATATGGTGATGTTAAACATCTCTTCAAGGAAGTCAGCCTCTGGCTTGGTGGTGGACTTGCTCTTTTGTTTCGGCCAAACGGCAAAGGTAAAATTATCAGCCAGTGATTCAGAATCATCGTGAAGGTATATGATTCCAAATTTATTAACTATATACTGGGAGAAATTGGGTTTTTCCTTGGTAATATTCCTCTCTCCAACCATAATGGTTCCATGGTGAGGAAGAGACGTAACCTGGAACCAGATTTCATAGGAAGATCGCTGAGATTTGGGCAATTTCAGTAAGAGGTTGGAAGCATCTAAATTAGATTGGTCAATGAGAACTTTGTCTCCCTCCTTGACAGCAGCTCCTGTGAAAATATAAATATAAAGAACAAAGTGACATTCCATTAGAACTTTCAGATGACACCTGTAAAGCTCTTTCTCTCTCAAATTTCCCTATCTGAGTGGATTATTCTAAACCCCTGGGTTGCTCAAGGACCTGAATTGGCATTGTTATGCAAGGCATATAACAAATTATATTTTAAGTATACATATCCTAACTAATAAGTCAATATTTCAGGCAAGAGAGTTCTAAAATCTTGAGATTCACTTATAGAATGTTAATTTCCTGACTTATCTACTACTGGACTTTCTCTTGCCATGGAAACAAGTGCAGCTTTCAATACCCCTTTCCTTTCAGGAACTTGCCCTATTTGTTATTTTCATTTCTATAGGCATGTCCCCATTTGGAGTTACAAATAAAATTCTTTAGAGTTAATTTTCCATCTTCCCCCCAACTACAACTATTAAAGCTTATGAGAGGAAAAAGAAGAGGCCCAGAGAAAGAGCACACAAAAAGAAATAAATTTTTATAACCATATACGTTTTATTTCAAAGGTTGATATCATGGCATTTCTAATTAATAAGGGGAATATTTATTTCCAAATTATCCCTACTTTAATAATTATAGATAAGCCACTGGCCATATCTTTTGGTGGCTTTACCTGTATTTGCAAGCAGACGACTCTGCCGACCAGGCTCAGTAATTTCATATGAAATAGTAATACGAAACTCCTCAGGACCTAGAGCTGCCGGTGGGGATGATGTCATAAACGTGAAAGAGTCTTCTGCAGTCCAGCCAGTGTTCTCATGGTCCACATGCTGGTATACTATAAGCCGTTCATTGACCTGTCCAGACATGAAGAAAAATCAGCCCCTGGCTTCAGGGATAATATGAGGACATGTATCCTAAGGAGATACAGGTTTTTTTCAGGGTTTATTCTCATGCTCAAATTATGCACATATCTATGCAAACACAAGAACAATAACAACGTGGTAACCTATTTGTCAAACCTTGGTGTTCAATTGCAAAAATAGTTCATTTATCAGAGAAAGAAAAGCACATTGATTTTGAGATGACTAAGGCTATGGTTTGTATATTACAGAAAGCATATAATGAACCTTCATATGCCTCTCTGATAATTTTAAAAACTATCAACTCACAACCAATCCTATTTCATATAATACTCCTACCCACATTCTGCTCAACAGCTTATTTTGAAGCCAACCCCAAACACCATTTTATCTGTAAATATTGTAGTGAATATTGACAAAGATGGCTCTTTTAAAAACATAATCACAATACCATTATCACATCTAAATATTACTTAATATCATCAAATATCCAATTAGTGTTCAAATATATCTGATGATCTAGTATATATATATACTTTTTTTACACAGGTACTTTGTTTGAGTCAGGATCCTTAGAAGTCCCCACATCACATTTGTTTGATGCTTCTCATAGGTGTCTTTTAGCCTATAGGTTCTCCTTGTCTATTGTTTTTCTTGTAATTATTTATTATTTATTTATTAATTTATTAAATATTTATTTATTTATTAAATATTCTTATATTCTAGATTTTGCTGCTTGCATCCCAATGGTATTATTTAACATGTTCCTCTGTCCCCTATATTTCCAATACACTAGTAGTTAAACCTAGAAATGTAGTAAGAATCAGATTTAAGTTTTTGTTAGGAATGTTTTACAGGTTGTATTCTATATTTCCTCTGCATCTCATCACAAGGCTGCTTCTCTTTTGGATATGTTAGTATTAATAGGTGAATTCAAGTGCTGCCAGGTTGATCTATCTATTTTGGAATTCCCCATCAGCCTTGTCACCTGATAGTTTTACAGAGTCATTGATAAGATTGCTTAAGTCCCTTATTTTTGCAGTGGCAAGGCATTGATATTTTTAATCATCCCTTCTTCATTCTTATCTGGAATTCTTCTATAAAGAAGAACTTTCCCTCATCAGCTATTTGGCTTTGCTGAGGTACAGTGTATGCGGGAAAGACAGAATAAGTACTTGATTCTTTCTCTTTATACAAATTTTTAGAAAAATGAGTCCCCTGGCTCCAATATCTAAACATATCCATTGGTTTTTGTTTTGTTTATTTTGGGATCATTATAAATTCATGAGTTTTAATATATGATGTATTTCATTCCATTGCAGTTCTTACTCTCCTTGATGTTCAAATTTTCCCGCCTTGCTTAGGGTATTTTTCAAGATTTAATCTAAGTTCCTGTTGCCTGTTGCCTATCAATGTCCTTGCTAGCTCAACTGATGGAGATGGGCCCCACCCAGTGTTCTGTTGTCCAGATCCCATGTGGGTAGTCCTTCCCCTAACAACAGTAACTGAAAGTTATAAATCTCGAACCACAGAAGGGAAGGCTAGAGATAAAATGTCTCACCCTTTAATTCCTATAGGTCATATCTTTTTCTGACCTGCTTTCTATTATAGTATCTGAACTTACAGGTATGGTTTTTCAAGGTATTTATGTCCATGTCGAAAGTGTCTAGGATAAATTATCATATAATTTACAAAGCAGTTGAGTCTATTTCATCAGTCAGTATTTGGAAATACTGTATTAATTAACAGAAGTTTGGTGGTGTATTGCTCTGGCTCAACACTGGTGCAATGGATGTACCCAGAATCAGAGTTCTAGAAAGGCTTTTGGTCTAGTGAGTTTCCACAAAATATGAGCTTCCTGTTTCCAGAGTGTCCAAAAACTGTTGGTGGTTTTTTGTTCCTTTCCTATTCAAGGTTAAGGCAAGGAAATGCTGTCATTTGGGGATTTTAAATGGGGAGAAGAAAGTACTGTTTCTCAACATTTCCTCATCAAGAAGCAAGGTCATTCATAAAAAATTGGTTTCCCCAAAGATAATTTCTGGTACTGACTACTGACTTGATTCCCTAGAAGTTTCTGGGAAATAAATCAGTTTTATTTAGCAGTTCTACTATTTCTAGTCTCAGCTTAAGATTTATGATGAAATATTCATCATAAATGTATTCCTCTTCCTAGAAACAAGCAACTGTGCCATGGATTTTGGACTGGAGAATTGTTCCTAAATGTTCCCATTGTGCTTGAAAGAAGCATAATATTATAAGACAAGAGACATCCAGTTTCTTAATGTTAAAAGTAACATAGTCTACTGACCAGGAGGAAAAATTTTCTTGGAAGCTTGTCAATCTTGTCCTTTGCTTCTTTGGTTTAAGTAAAAATTAACTTCCCCCAAAATATAAGATAAGTTACTGGAATAACCTAAGGGTCTTCTGATGTCTACAGGATGAAGAGTGATTGTTCCAGGGAAAGAAGGGTTCTCAAAAATGAGAACAGTTGAGATGAAGGTCAAAAATCTGAGGGAAATTAATTGGAGAGGAGCCCTAACCATAGCTGTGTACTTTGGAAGACTCCTGGAGGGGAGGTCTGCTATCAGTTCTTTTTCTGAAAAGTCATTCCAAAAGTGAGAAATTGTGAATAACTTATTGACTCATTTTATGCTGGAGAGTGAGAGAACTGAATTAGATTCATCTTGAGTGTATGAGCTTCAGGACTGGACAGCAGGTAATTGAAAGTGCTGAGCTAGAAGCAAAAGGGAATGAGTGTGCCTGTGGAATGTCAACTTGGCAGTCATGCCCTGAAGGAGGTTTCGGTGAGTAGAGTCTTTAACATTTAGAAATAGAGAGCTTTAAGAATCAGATTCTAGGGGTACCTGGGTGGCTCAGTCAGTTGAGCATCTGATTCTTGATCTCAGCTCAGATCTCGATCTCAGAGTCATGAGTTCCAGCCCCACGTCAGGCTCTACACTGGGCATGGAGCCTACTTAAAAAATAAATAAATAAGAACCAGGTTCTAAGGTGTGTGTGCACGGGTGTATGCATGTGTGCATGCGTGTGTGTGTGTGCATGCGTGTGTGTGTGTGCATGCGTGTGTGTGTGTGTGTGTGTGTGTGTGTGTGTGTGTGGTGGAGAGGGCTGGAAAAGGGAGAACAAGACCAAGACTTTATGGGAAAAAGTGTAAGGTAAACCTCAAGAGAGAAGTATCTCAGACAGGATTAAGAATTTTGTTACCTCAAATAGAAAGTGGCCTTGGGGCAACTTCCAACAGCTCTGCATATTTCTGCTGTATTAAATATAGATCAATAAACCACTTAGCTGAATACCTGGACTCTGAGATTAAGGAGAGAGGAGAGGGGAGGTTTTTATTTCCCATGGATTTAGATTAGTCCAGATATTCTCTCTTTTACAGATGGAGTCTTTCTAGAATGTTATTAGAAATTAAAATTTGTATAATTCCAACTAGTAAATGCAGAGGGAAAAACAGAATAAGAAAAATCACCATTTGGCAATCACCATAGTAATAAATATCTTACAGGAATCCTAAATGATTGCTTACACTAGCGAGCTAAGTTGTGATGAGAAACAGGATATTTAAATAGTTCCAAGGTATTCCCTCACAGAATACTTAATTACAGAAAGGGAAATAGTCAGTTCGCCAAGGAGAAACCTGAAAGACGGCACCTGACTAAGTGGCGAACATCATCAGTGACAGAGTGGAGTGCGCATCGGTGCTTCCTGACATGAGGCCAGAGGAGACCTCAGCATCTCTCATGGCCATTCCCGCCAAAATGCACAACCTGAGTTGGACTGTGAGGAAACGTCCAATGAAACCAAACTGAGGAACACACTACAAATAACTGGCCTGTTCTCAAAAAATGGCCACATCGCAAAAGTCAGCATGTCTGCAGAATGCTTTCAGATTAAAGCGGACCAAGGACACCTGAAAACTAAATGCCGTGTTTTACACTGTGGATTTTTTTCTTTAGGATATTCTAGGATATTCTTTTTTTTCTAGAGGATATGCATTGAAACAACTTGGGAAATTTGAATAAGGTCTATAGATTATATAATAGATTGTATCAATGCTAATTTCATGATTTTGAAAATTATACTGTGGTTATACGAGAAAGGCCTTATTTTTAAGAAATATGCACTGAGGTATTTAGAGGTAAAGGCACATCATGTCTGCAACTGCCTCTTAAAATTTCAGAAGTGTGTGTGTGTGTGTGTGTGTGCGCGTGTGTGTGAACAGGTATGATAAAGCAGGTAGTTAAAAGCTAACATTTGGGTAATATGGATGAATAGTATACTTTGTACTCTTTTGCAATCATTCTGTAAGTCTGAAATTATCTCAAAATAAAAAAAATTAAAAAAAATAATTCTAAAAAGTAAATCCCATAGTGTTTTACTATTTCAGCTTCAGGAAGGGACCAATAATTTCTTTCCTCTGATCACCACGTATGTGCAGAATGGGGGAGGGGGTAACCTTTGCATGCCTTGGGCACTCCGACATCAAGAAGTGCTCATTTCCTATCCCAACATCGTTCCCCCCACCTCCAACTTGGTCCATTTCTCTAGTACCTTAACACGGCTGTACTCCTACCTAACACATGAGTGGGTGAATATGCAGGTCAAAATCCTAGACCTGAGTAGTCCTTTTATTTGAAATGACAATATGATAACACCCCTTGGATCACTGAGATTTAAATCTTCTGGATTTCATATCCTTGATTCCTACAGAACCACAAAGAAAAATATTTGTTAGAGGCCAAAGGGATAAATTTGGCTCCCTGAAAGCCAGGGGCCCTACTGAATTTTCTGTGCTGGGTTAAAGTTTACGACTCAGAGGCTGCTGAGCAGCTCAGAGAGGGTGGGAATTTAGCGAACTCCTCTCCATCCCCCCAATCATCGGCCTAGTTGGGAGCAGAGCTGAGACCAGAAGCCAGATCTCCACACTTGTAGATAAGAACCCTTTCTCCTAGAGTACTTTATTGGAGACCGTG